CAGGGACAGGCACAAAAGTGGCCAGGATGCATCCTCTACATCACTACAAGCCCCTGCTCTACAGCTGTAGTGCGTGGGTCGAGTTGCAGAACATGTCTTGGGAAAGAAAGCCAAAACCAGACAATACCAACATAAACCAGATTTCCCCCAGAAATCAGGGGCAGGAAGTATCTGTCCCCCGGGCAACTGCTTGAACAGCAGCTGGGCTTGCTTCTTCCCGCGTGGTCCCTATGCTGTGCTGGCCTCAGCCTCTGGTCAGCCTACTGGGGCTGGTCCAGCAGCATCCCACCCTTCCCTGCTTTCCAACCTGCCACCAGATGGTTTCTTTTTGGAGTCCACCATGCACAAAGGATGATCTGTGCTCAGTGATACACAGAAACCAGTGCCTGTGTACCTTAGAGGTTTTGAGGCAGGGGAGGAGTCAAGTCAATCTGCACCCACCCCATGGCCCCAGACAGGAAGGATGTCTCCACTGACTTCATCTCTTTTTGTGCCATGAGCTGAGCAGCCCGATATTTAAATGCAGCCTGGGATAAGTGTATGCCAACATGAGCAAGTCCTTTGATGACTGAACCCTTGCCAGCTTGCAATGCCACTTCTGCTTCCCCATCCCACCAGTGGCTTCTTACCAGTGCCTGAGCCAAGCAAGCACTGATACAGCCCTGCAGTTCAGCTCATGAAGAAGTGATCATGGGCTTAGCTCTGGGCTCAGCCCTGGCACAGAAACCCCTCATGGCCTTGGGTGGGCTTTTGTTACAAACCACCATGCAGCTGTCCTCACCCACTCAAAGGGACCATCCACCTCCCGCCTATAACAGTGGCCACATGGGCTTGATGATCTTAAAGGTCTTTTCCAGCCTAGTTGATTCTATGATTTTATGGGGAGGTCTAAATGAAAGTAAGCACAGCACAACTGTGGTATTTTCTCAGTTTGCCTCCTGCTTTCAGGCTATTTTTTAGCCTGAAGAGTGAAGTCTTACATGGCAATATCCTTCAGCACGGAGTTTCATAGGTCTGCAGCTGGTTGCATAAAGGAACAATTTGTTTGCTTGTTTTAAATATGTGTCCACCTGGTTCCTGTGCATGACGAGGCCATGAGTACTCAGACCCCATTAACCCTTAGGACATTTTGTCAGATTTTCCCAATCCTCTAGACTTCTACCATGTCCCCCTAAACCACCCAATGCCAGTCCTGCTTTGCAAGAGATGCTTCTGGTCTCAACCTCTGCCCAGCAGGCTTTGCCGTGCCTCCTGCCTGCTCCCCAGGTCCCCCTGCATCCAGGGGAGATGACTGGAGATAAGCCCAAACCCCTGTGTTCAGGCCTACCACATCTGGTGTCATGCCTATCCCCGAGAGCACAGGTCTTCAGGCCCATAAGATGCCTCACTGAAGTTCATGGAGATATAGTACTCACGTCAGCCACCTAAATAGGCATCTTGCCACCAGCTGCATGGCCACATCTGGACATCTGTTAGAGATGGTCCCTGGCATTTGCCCAGCTCCAAAGTGTGCCAAGGAACAGTCTGGCAAAGTACTAGTTTGATGTTAGTGTGATTAGTTTGATGTTTGTTTAGTGTGAGGTGTCCCTGCCCATGGCAAGGGGATTGGAACTTGATGATCTTATGGTCCTTTCCAACCCTAACTGTTCTATGATGATAGCCTGTATGGGTATCTGTTCATGTCTGACCTTGAGCCTCATACAGTTTGACTTACTCTGAATCCAGACACATTTTATCTTCCCATTGTGCCCCTGGAGCTGGCGTGGTAGGGTGATGGTATCCTCCACTCCACAGGAGGTTAAAGAAGCCACATGAGTGGGCTGGATATGAACCCCTTTCTTTGAGCAACCTGGTCTAGTGGAAGGTGTCCCTGCCCATGGCAGGGGGTTGGAACTGGATGAGCTTTAAGGTCCCTTCCAACACAAACCATTCTGTGATTCTCCTGCATGGGGGTGAAGGAAGAGCCAGGCATGCAGGTGCTTGCATTGGTTTGCATGGGATTTCTGGGGACATAAGAGACAATCTGGATCTAAGGTACTTGCCCAGTACTATGAGATCTGAGCTTCCCCAAGCAGGAGCCCATCTGACCACCATTCTTCTCCTGATTATACAGCTCCATTTCCAATGGTGTTTTTAAGGCAGAAGCAGAGGATTCAATCTGTCTGTCTCACACTGCCAAGCAAACACTGGCCTGCTGCCTGGGAACAGTAAATAAATTCCAGTGAGGGGACGTTCATGCTGTGCTTTGATGAACTGACGTCTCCAGTTATGCATGAGGTTTCTGCTGGTTGACAGACTGGGCATGAGGGTAGGGCTCTATCCTGGCTGTCTGTATGGCTGAAAGACCCCACATATACTTCCCAAGATGTCTGGATGGTTTCTGGTCCCCCTTAGGGGCTGATATAGGTCTGCTAGGGCAGTACTGAAGAACCCTTATTTTGTAGCCTTCTGAGCTCTGTCAGGTACAGGTAGCTGGAATTAAAGGCTTTACCAAGCCTTTGCCACAAACATCATCTTCCTCATTTGGCTTTCTCCCATGAGGCCCAACACTTCATGCCTTTTCAAAGTGGGCTACTGGCCTGATTGAAATTCTCACCAGCCTGCATCTCTGAAGGAATGGTAGACTTCACTTTCTCATTACTTCTGCCTCTCTGGCTTCCCCATCACTTGCCTTACTGTGCCCTCTAGTCCTACATGCAATTCTGGAGGTAACATTTTGGATTCAGATGAACCCAGCTTACTACATGTGGGTCTGCACTCTGGGAAATGAGCCCAGCTGGGCAGGACTGCTGGTCATGGTGGAAGTCCTCTGTCAAAGGGGCACACTGGGGATGACTTTTACGGAGTGCCTCAAACCATGAATATGTTTTGGATTTTAGATATAAAAGGTTGGAATATGGTGCTTGGGGGCCTATAGGAGTGTGGTCTCAAGGTGAATGAAAACACGTAGGTGAACAGATCTGTGCTGAGTGCATGAATATGGTCACTTAACCAGAGGAGTTCAGTGCTGCCTCCTCCTTGGGATTACAGGTTACACCAGCCTGCGATAATTAGTTAGGCCAGCATTCCCTATCATACACTTACACTAAACCATCTCATACTGCTGTTTAAGCAGCTTCTCAGGACCTGTGCTGGTGTCTGAGTGCTCTGCCCCAAGCAAGTTAATGGGTGAAGAAACCATGTCAAGAAACAGTTGTGTAGTGTTGGTGGACTTGGAGAGTGCTGTTCTCTACCCTCCACCATGTCCTCAGTGCTTTCCCTCTTCTCCTTCTGTGTCAGACCACGTAGCTGGGAGGGAAGTCAGTTCATTTTATTCATCAGGCAGTAACAATCATGGATTTCTGTTGCCTTTTTTTTTGTTGCATTGCGGTTTGGATTTTTTAGGGTTATTTTCTGCCAGATCAGCAAGTATATACAGTATATATAGTATATATATACACTGTAAGCATACGTATGTGCACTATAAACTGTCTGAGCATTTCCACCTTCCCTGACTGAAATTTGGCTGGCTAAGTGATTCAAAATGCATAGGTGGCGGAAGTCCCAGCAACTGGCAGGGAGCTTTACAGGGTGAGCTGCATGAGCCCATATGTTTCACTTTCTTAGGAAACTAGGTTATAAATATGGTGGCTACGCATCCCCCAGATAAGAGGAGCGAATCATGAACTCTGTGGGTGAACGTGAGAAATAAACTGTTTGCTTTGGAACGGTGCCTTTATTTCAAAACCTGGCTGTGCTGTACTCATACACCAACATGCATCAGAGAGGAGGGCTGGACCTGGGGAGGAATTTGGCTCTGGTCTCAGCCCTGTCTCAGTTTCCAGCACTGGTTCCCAAGCCAACAGCTGGCTCTGGGTAACCTGGCTCTCCTGATGGTTCATCCAACTGCAGGGGATCTCCAGGGCAGTGCTGGTATCTCCCTATATGCATTGGTGCCCTGGACTGTGCTATGATCACCCAAGGAGAATAGCTGGGATGCTCACAGAAGAGTGGAGTTGCTTGGGTGAATTAATTGTTGGATCTCTGGCAATGGCTCCTGACCCTGGTGAGGTCAATGGGATTTTTCCTGTTCGATTCATCAGAGCAAGAACTTAATCTCCCAGGAAGGACTTTTCCCTGGCTCTGGCCAACACTTTGCTAATTGGTGTAGCTCTCTCATTACTTCGTTCTCTCTCTTTCACAGAAATGATTGACCCAGAGAGAAATATTTTACCTGGAAAGGGATAGAGCTGACTGACAAAGGCAGGGGGGTGTCCAAATTCCATGCTGAAAAAATAAAGAAGGGCTGAGAGTGGATCTGGACAGCTAATGGATCTAGGCTTATGAGGTCACAGGCAGAAAGATGTTAGGTGCAAACAGGCTAATTGCTTTGGGATGCTTGTTGGGTGATTACAGAGGAAAGGATGAGCACCAGAAATGCAGTCCATGGGTGAGAAGAGCAGCCTGTCAAGAGCAATGGTTCACAGCTTTCAGATCCTTTCCCCATCATGTTTAAAACAAGCAAGACTGGGCTCTTCCTTGGTCTTGCAGTGTTGAGGGATGAACCAGGGACAGCCCTGCTGGGATGCATTTTCTGGTCTATGTGTTGGCTGATGGCCAGCAGATTCCTTCTCTGAACCTTATGGGCAAAAGGGTCTGTATGCATGTGGGAAATCCCTGCTCCTTTTTAGTGTCTTATTTCTCCCTTCCCATTGCCTGTAAGAACATGGTACACCCTAGAAAAGAAGAGTAGATATGGGGGGGGGGGGGACACTTGCCTGAGAAACATAGACCCCATTTAGGTTTTATGTCAAACCAGGTAGCTTTTGCACCAAAAGCAATGGGATAACAGTTGCCCCATTGCAACTGTTTTCTTGAGGAAGGGAAATAAAGAGACAAAGTCACACTGGTTTGCTGGGAAAGTGTGGGGTGTTGTGTTCAGCCCTGGCCAGTGGAAAAGAGCATGTCCCACCACCAGCAGCTTTGCTGAATGTCAGCAGGAGTCACAGATGGGCATTTGCCATAAACTTCATGTTTATTGCTTTCAGGTAAGGAGAAGGCAATTTGTCACCTATGCATGACAGGTAACAACCAGATGCCAAAAGGGGTGATAAGTAGCCTAGATGGCCCAAATTTATTCTTTTCATGGTGTTTCCTAGAAAGTCCCAATAAAAGCAAGAAGTGATGTGTTCAGAGTGATTCCACAGCCCTGTTCTCCCAGAAGAGTAACAGTGACAGGAAAGGCAAAAGATTTCTTTCCCAACAGCAGATCATTCCTCATTCCTGCAGCTCTCCATGTGCTGCAGTTTGCTCCTTTGGAAACCTTCAGTTCTTTGCACTGGGGGATGTCAGATTCTTGCAACAGAGAATGATGGGTTCAAAGCAGTACTTAGCCAGATATTCACCAGGTTCACAGGTTCCAAGTCGGCAAAAGCCCCTTTCTTGCCTACAGTGGCACGCGCCCCCTTCATGCTTACAGCCTAGTGGTCCATGAGCATCTCCTGTAAAAAGAAGCGGCAAGCTGGTGGGTAAATGCATGGGGCTTCTTGTGCCAATGCAGCACTGCGAGCATGCATGGAGCCTGCATTGTGTGTGTGGCTGCACAGAGCACAGATGGGATACCTGTCCCAAAGGACAGCTTCAGACATCTGTGTTAAAAATACCAAGCTGCAAAGCCAGCCTCACCCAAGGAACACCTTATCATGCAGTTGTTTATTCAGGATGTTGGCAATGACCATGCATGGCAGGTCAGAGCAGTTGTCCTTGCCCTACCAAGGGCACAAGTGCAGCCTGAGAAAAGGCAGAAATATTTCCCCAGAGCACAGGTCACCTCCTTAGGTCTTCTCCAACCAGTCTGCTCTTACAAAAGCAGTGAGGTTCCCCATTTTCACAGCTTCTTCCCTGCGCATTTTTGCACTACCCCAAAGGATTAAATCATGCATTTTGCCAAAATACCTCATCCATTGCCTCATCCAGAAGCCAGAGGACACCTTTCTTCAATACCCATCATATTTTGATTTGATTAAACAGTGAGAAAACATTATTCCTGTTCCCAGATACCTCTGTTTACCACCCTCAGCCCTCCTGGTCTTACCATGACCCATAAGGGAGATGAAGAGCAGCGTGAACCAAAGGATCCCCATTGCTGGAAAAGTGCAGAGCTGAGATTGTGCAGAAGCCTCTGTGTGCTGCTGGCACACTGGGTGGCATCTGGGAAGAGGGAGTAGGCAGGAGTTAATTGTATTCCAGTCTCAGGAACAATGTCTGCTGCTGACAAAACCATCCATGTCATTCCGACCCAGTGCTGCGGCTCCAAACAATGGTGACTTGCTTCACATTCACTGGTTATCAGCGTCCCCAATTCGTCTTTCTGTCATTTGCCATTTTGGACTGGTAGGTTGCCAACTGCAGGCAGTTTGGTGGAAAAAAGAAGCTTCGGCTTCAGCCAGCAAAGTTCCTGGGAAGCTGATGGGTGGAAGGCAACCTGAAGGGAAGACTCCTGAGGAGTTGCAAGGAGGAGAATGATGCAGGCCAGGACTGATCCATTTTTTATCTGAGCTTGTGTGAATGTTTTCTCCAGCTGAAACCTGAATGTGATTTTTTCCTGCCAAAAATGCTATTCCAGCTTTGGCTTCCCAGGAATTTAGGAGGCTTCATTCCTGAGTGTGATGAGAACACAGCTCTGGTGGAAGAGGTAGCTGGTTAGCTCAGCAATGCACCACTTGGTGGTAGCTATGTGATAGGTATGCAGTTCTTGCTCTAAAATCAGCCTATGCTGTTCCAGCTACCCTTGCCTGGCTGCTGCCTCTGCCTCATCCTGCTCTTTGCTGTCTCTTCAGCTGTGTTAATGTAACCGTTCATGTGAATACATCCTAAGCTGGATAGTTGAAAGATCAAGGTTAAAAATTTCCTTCTCCCTAAACCAATGTTGTTTAGACGCACTCTATAGAATCATAAAATCACAGCATCATGGAATGGTTTGGGTTGGAAGGGACCTTAAAGCTCATCCAGTTCCAACCCCCTGCCATAGGAAGGGACACCTTCCACTAGACCAGGTTGCTCCAAGCCCCTTCCAGCCTGGCCTTGAACACCGCCAGGGATGGTGTAGCAACCAGTTCTCTGGGCAACCTGTGCCAGTGACTCCACACCCTTCTTCCTAATATATAAACTAAATCTACCCACTTGACAGAGTCAAAGTTTGCTGTCCTGGATCAGCAGGTGTGGAAAGTTTGATGGATGTCATTTGAGATGCGTGGGCATTATGGATCTCTGCATGAGTGACAGTCACAGGCAAGACACTCTGGAAGCCCAGAATGATACCTTGGGCCACCTCAGGTGACACCAGTGTTCAGGTCTGGGGCAAGTGAGTCTGGTCCTAAAGAAAAAAAAGGACAAAAGACAAATTTCATCTGACTCTAAGATCAGATGGGTTAAAAAATCTTGTTTGAAGGCTGACGAGTCCTGATCTAGGGAGGTCAAGTACTTGCAAACCCTTAATTTTCCTTGTCTACTTAATATTCTACTTGGTGTAGTGGAAGGTGTCCCTGCCCATGTCAGGATGGTTGGAACTAGATGATCTTTAAAGCTTCTTCTAACCCAAATTATTCTATGATTTGTGATTTTATGATTCTGATTACTCCATTACTCCATGGTCACCTGCTGGACCAAAAATAGGTCCATCCACCCTCTTGGAGTGAGAACTAGCCCCTTAGGAGTGGGACTGTTGTCCTGGGCCGGGAGCCAGGAGCTGACCTGGGACCTTTACACCACTGCTTGAACACTGCAGTGTTTAGATTTCTCCTCTGGGCCATGCAGGGACAAACCTGCAAGGCAGGTCTGGCAAAAGAGCTCCAGGCTCTGTGCACCATTTCATGTTGGAGAGATACTGATCTTGGGGGAACATCAGAATCAGCACACTGTCTGCTGCAGGCTGGTAATAATTTCCAGCTAAGCCTGCTCATGTTTTGCAAAGGAAGGACAGGATGTTTCTGCCTCCTCTCCCCAGGCCATTTGTTTGATGTATTGCTTTTCTGCTTCAACAGAGGGGTATGGGATTGGCTTTTCCCTGTTGCAACCAAGCCGCATTGCTCCCCTCTCCTCATCCTCTTCATGCCTTGTAACTGATGACAGAGCTTGTCTGGTCCCACACACTGGTCCACTCACTAATGATGCGGGGAAGTGAAACAACCCTGGAGCTGAACGAGCTTTCTTGCTCTTTCTGTGGCCCATGACCGTGTGGATCAGGTCAGCCTTGCAAGGAGAGTCTGGGGGGTCTTTTGTGATCTAAAGAGGGTGACATCTGGATGTGTTTTGTGTCTGAATGGTGGAGCAAGGGCTTGCAGCTTGATTCACTCCAGAGTGGAAATGGGGTGTAAATGAAACGATTACAAATACAGTACAGGCAATCCAATGCCCAACACCTGGGAACTGCTGTCTCAAAACCCAAATAATTATTTACACAGGCAAAAAGCAAGCAGGTGAAGTGTTCGTTTGGCAAGACTGCAATATCTCCCACCCGTTATGTGCAAGCTCTCGCCACATCATTCCGACACAAAAGATGTCCAGATGTGCAAAGCAAGGGGTAGAGTAATGTGTTGGTACAGATGCACTGTACTAACGCTGAATTTTGTAACTGGACTGGAGAGAAGCATTTCTTTATAAAAACAGGGCAGTAAAGGCAAGAAACTCAATGCCAGGGGTTTAAGTCTTTGCTTACATAGATAAGTAAGATCCTTTCCGCCTCTTTGGCAGAGTTGGATTATACACTTCAATGAACCCATCCTCCAGGCCTTGGATAACCCCAGCCCATGGACAGCAGCCAACAACAGTTGTGTGTGTCCTAGGAAGGCTGGAAGATCATGGTGTTGGCTTTAAAACCTCCTCATGACATAGGAGCCAGTGGATGCACACCATCTGCCAATCTGACCATAGCTCTTTTCATTCGGCATTGGCCCAGGATCTTCTGAGAACTTATAAACTCTTGGCTGGACAGCTGTAGCCACTGGACCCTGTCCTCCAATAGTTCCTGTGCTGCTGAGCCATGGGTCTCTTCCAGTCCCACAGGTCACTCCATGTTTTGGGTTTGCAATGTGCCTTTGTGGGTGGGTGAATCGCTTCCATTGAAGGGTTTTCATGCATGATTATGGTAATCTTGGTGAATCCCTTGATGAGTTTCTTTGGGAAATGTGCAGACAGTGCACTCTTTCCTGCGTGCTTTATCTGCACACAAACCCTGATGTGGGACTTTATTCTTTACTGACTTATATCTGATGGCACCTCAGTGAAATCTTCCAGCAAGCCATTAACTTGCTAGTTACAGTGCCTCTTGCCCCTGTACTAAAGCATCACCTCCTTCATGATCCAAGGAAACCAAGATCTTGTATAAATGAGTGAACAGCTACAAACTTCCACCACCCAACCAAAATCAGCTAAAAATAATGGAAATAAAGTCAGGAAAAGAAATAAAATGAAAGTAAGGTTTAATGGTGAGAGCCCATATGTAAGACATAGGAAGTCTTAGGTCCTCTTCTGATCTGAACTTTTTGGATGCCTCTGTACTGTCCTCTGGAACCAGTGTCTTGGCTCACCAGTGTCCTTGACTGATGTGAGGATGGTGTTCTCATTACCTCACATTACCTCTGGAAGAACCTTCATGCTCAACGTGGCAGCAAATTCCACTTCAATTGACATAAATTCACCTCGAATTCTCAGATGAAAAAGTGTTCTTTAGAAATGAATGAGAAGCAAGGAAGACATGGCAAAGCAAGAAAGTAATTTTGCTATATCACTGTCATTATGTTGATTATGGACAAGGGAGCACTTACTGAAGAAGATCTGAGGTTCCCATGGCTGCTGTGCTTGTTAGAATGGGACATTTTCAGGACACCACATCTTCTACAGTTCCTTCTGATATTCATGCCAGCAGCAGAGCATGGTGTAACCTTGACCAGACCTTATCTATCATTGCGCACGACCACAGGCATGATGTTGACATATCCCGCCTCTCACCAGACACACAAAGGTAGGCAGAGTCCTGCATGGGCACACCACTGCTGAGGCACAGGGAGGTGGGAAGCAGGCCTATAGAGGCACCAGACAAGAGAGGCTGACTCTGGTGTGGTAGTGGGCGTGTATTTACATGTGGGAGAACTCAATGGGAGCAGAGTCTAAAACCCATTTTATTGACTTAACTTGATTTCAGTGAGTCATTGGGTAGGCTATAAATCAGGTTATTTGATTAAAAAAAGGAACAACCCACAAAAAAGAAGGATTTTTTAAATTTGATTGGTTGTTTTTTGTTGTTTTTTGTTTTTTCTATAATTCTAGTTAGAAAAATAATGTATTAATCTCCTCTCATGCATTTTCCCTTTATCAAAGCTTAAACTCCTTCAGTATATCTTCATTAGTAAATAAAACAGGGCAGGACACAATCACTGGGATTTGATTATCCAAACTATTAAATGCTTAGCATATCCCTGGAAAGGTTTTGGTCCAGGCCAACTATTTCTCTCCCAAACAATTGCCAAGTGTGTCTGGGATGAGGGATTAATTCCACCAGACAGTCTGGATGTACCCATCTGTTACTGGTGTGAAGAGAGGATGAGCATGGCCAGATTATGATATTTGGTTTTGGGGATAGAGAAGAGGCCCTGAGACTGCTCAGTATGCTAGAACAGTGTCGTGGTTTAAACCCAGTCAGGTAATTCGTTCACTCACTTCCCCCCCTTTCTTGCCCTCCCCCTGCTACTGGAGGGACGGAGAGGAGAATCAAAAAGAATGCAACTCCCACGGGTTGAGATAAGAACAGTTTAGTAACTAAGGTATAACACAAATCACTGCTGCTACCACCAATAATAACAATGATAAAGGAAATAACAAGGGAAGAGAATACAACACCTCACCACCAGCCGACTGATAACTTGCCCCCCCTCAGCCCGACCAAACACCGACCGATACCTCCTCAAACCCTGCAGTCTCCCAGCCCTTCCGGGTAACTCCCAGTTACATCCTGGGCATGACGTGCTGTGGTATGGAATACCTCTTTGGTCAGTTTGGGTCAGGTGTCCTGTCTCTGCTTCCTCCCAGCTTCCCCTCCTCCCTGGCAGAGCATGAGGCTCACAAAGTCCTTGGCCAAACCAAAACATCGCTATCAGCTCTGTTCCCAGGCCGAAAGTCAAAACACTGCACTGCACCAGCTACCAAGAAGGAGAAACATGACGGCTACTGCTGAACCCAGGACAAACAGTTGTAACAATTTAGATACTGAATTGTCATGAAAGTGTACCATGTTTTGTGAGATTGAGTTGATATATATATATATATATATATATATATGGAAGATATAAGGATTGGAGAAGACCTGGGTTCTATACCCAGCTTGCACTGACTGGCAGACTGGCAGTATGATCTTAGGCATTGAAGT